TTTTTTAATCAAATGGTCTGGAACCTAAGTTGCTGACACACTAATAGGGGGACACTTTGATTGAGGTCTCACCATTGACTGTGTGAAAACAAACAGAGGCAAAATCACTGACACTGAAAGGGATTCAGAATGACTTTGTAAAAGAATTACCGTACATTAATAACATTGGGTAAGTCCCCTGTTTTTGTTTTCCAAGTCAGGGTCCAGATATTCTCATAACAAGACTTTGAGTCCTTCATCACTGTAAAGTCACTGATGTTGAAGTATGGGGCTGTAGAGTTATCCGTGTTGTCTTGCAAAAGCCTGTGGAGATGATTGGAGGAAATATGCACTGGGATATCTGAAAAAGACATTAGAAAGTAAAATTAGAAAGCAGCATACCCTATGAGAGCACATCTGCCTCTCCTAGAAAAGAAAGATGTTTCATCAGCTGGCCCTGTTCAGCCTGAAGAGGAGGCTGAGAGGGGATCTGATCAGTGTCTATAAATATGTCAAGAGAGGGAGTGAGGAGGATGGGGCCAGCCTCTCTTCAGTGGTGGCCAGCGATAGGACAAGAGGAAACAGCCACAAACTGAAGCACCAAAAGTTCCACAGGAACTTAAGGAAAAAATTCTTAACAGTGAGGGTGCCAGAGCACTGGAATAGGTTACCAAGAGAGGTTGTGGAGTCTCCTTCTCTGGAGATCTTCAGAATCCACTTGGACACAATCCTATGTAACACGCTCTAGGTGACCCTGCATGTGCAGAGGGCGTTGGACTAGATGGTCTCTGGAGGTCCCTTCTAAACTTAACAATTCAATAATTCTATGATTCATTATTAGTAGTAGGCTGCAATGGTTTAGACCTCTAACTGCAAAAAAAAGTAGCAGGGGAAATCCTAAATGTCAAAATACCTTCTGCACTTTCTACTAGTGAAGAAAACACAGAATTATGTCTCTAGATGGAACCATCAGAGTTGTTGTCCAAGTAATACTTCTTGTAACATCCAATCTATATCTTTGGAAGGCATGAAATTTCACTATGCAATCATGCTGTTTTAAAAGAGAAAAGACAGAAATTTCCTACACAAGTGAAGTATATGTGTTGGGAGGGATCAGTCTGTCAAGAAGACTTCGTAAAGTCCAGTCCTAAATATATGCAAATAGTATCTTATTTCTTTTGACAAAAAAAGGCCCATAGCCATTCAAAGCTGCAAATACAATATATCTCCCTAAACTTATGAATAAGAAAGAAGGGCCTGGGAACAGAGCAAGAGGAATGGAGACCACTTTAAAAAAGAGTATCTTAAAGGTAGGGAACTGTTGAGTTCACCTTTGTCCGTAATGTGATGCTTCAGAAAAGTCTTAAATGACTCTCCATCTTGTCTTTCATGAATATTCTAAATTTGCTTGCTATTTTGTGACTTTGCTTTCTAACTACAAGGCACTAGTTCCACAGTAAAGAATCAAATCAAGTCAACTCTATGCACAAAAGCTTTTGTGGTCTCTGCAATCGCCTCAAATGCCCAAAATTCCAATAATACTGGGAGTAAAATAATTCTCTGGTAAATTCCATGAGTCTTACTTGTAGGCTGGTGTTATGAAATACAGAGGCAAACCTAAGAGGAGTGATAATAATTGCAGTTTTGGAAAAGGTTCTGATAAGGGAAAAGCTGTTCATAGCTTAGAACACCACCAGTACTGTCATATACGAGGACGAGAAGTGCATGTTCTAGAGGAACCTCAATGTAATGAAACCTTAGATTGCAAAATCCCAGCTCAGACTCTGATCCCAAATCCTTTAATATTAACACAAGTATTTCAGAGAGATTGTATTTTGTATCAAACCCTTAATTAAATAGAAATACTGCCTTCCCTATAATCCTTAACTCCTATTTAAGGACAGCACATGCAAAACTCTAGCAGACATCTGAATGGGCTTGATCTGCCAACCTGTTTCTTGGGCATTTTAAAGGATCGTTCTCCTCTCTTCTTCACTTGGTTTCCTGCAAATGGAATCCTGGACTCCTGCTCACCTTGTCTCTTACCTGATATCACTGTATTGGCCAGGTAGATACGGAAGGTCCCTCCAATAGGTGGAGATGACTTCTGCAGTCTCCGAACAGTGAGGTTGATTCTTGCATCCTCCGTGGAGACAGAGAGGTGTCCATCTTCCTCAGAGCCATCCAGAAGCAAAGCACCTCTGCATGACAGAGTGCCCACATGAAGGCTTTAGCAGACAGAAACTCCACTGGTGACACCCTTGTGTGACCAGCAGCAGAAAACCAAAATTTATCTGGTCTTGGAATCTTGAACTCACAGGTTCTGCAGGGATCTATTGTTCACCAGACCCTTGCTGCTCCCTAAATATCATTTTCCAAGTTAAATCAAGTTGTTGCAAGAACATCGCATTGTTCTAAAGGTCCTTGAAAAGCAGCAGAGTTTCTTACCTCCAGAGACATGATTCTTCAAGGCATCTGCCATATGAACCTTTGCTCTTACCCTCACAGGAACACGAGGGGGCAAGAGTCTTGAAGGACCTAACAAGAATATATTTGCAGCCCTGACAGACTTCGTTACTCAGCATATGCTTTCCTGCTATGCCAACATTGTACACAACAGGAAATGATGGAAAAACCCTATTTAAATGGAGGAAATAGTTCATACAACAGCAAGCTCAAGTGAGTACTACTCCAAGACACTTCATTCTATAGTCTCAGGTTTATCAAAACATCAGCACTGCTGAATTACAGCAAGAAATGGAGAGCTGGTTCTCAAACCTAAAAAGCCTCTCTGTGATACAATAATGCCACCATGTGGTTATGTATCTACATAACAGCTAAAGTCTCCAATTAGTCCCATTTCTGTCTGGACTTCTGCTGATGAAATTTAGACAGTAAGAAACCCAAAGGACCACTGGATTTTCTAGTCTGACATACAGTTGATTTTATCCAGTAACCCTGATTCTGATCCCAACGAGTTATATTAGACTAAAGCATAGCATGAGCTTGGTTAAGAGAAATATATATATATATATTTTGAAAATATCCAAAGACAGCAAGCACCCTGCTCAAGCAGCAAGCATGCACTGATTTCTCATTTCTGTCTGACTGCAACATCCTACATGGATTTTGTTCATCTCTCTCCAAGAAACATAAAAGCCCTCAAATGTCAACCATGTGTTTTTCTTGGTGAGAGGTACTATTATTACTAATCCACCCATAAATCCTCTTTTTGATAAACTAAACATATTGAGCTTCTTAAATCTTTCTCTCCAAGGCATTTTCTTTCACTCCATAATTAATTTTCTTTCACTCCGTAATTATTCTTATAGCTGTTTTTCTTCAAGTTTTCTGAAACCTCTTTAGACATATGCTCAATGCAGTAACACAGTCTTCCAGTGACATTCTTAATACTAAAATCAAGAAATCTATTTTCTACTGATTATATCAATGTATACCCAAACCTTACACTCCCTCATCTTCTCATCCTTACCTTTGCCATTGGTAACTTGTGCTGAAATACTAAATTTAACATAGGCAATGAAGTGTATTCATAAAGGAGAGACCTTTACCAACCATATCCATCCATGCTGTGCTAATCCTATAAATTGCCTTCTGTAGAACAGCTAGGTCTGAACAGTGGCTTAATTGTTTTACCAAATGACTGCTCAGACTTGGGCTCTGCACGACCAGGACCATGATCTGCTGCTGAATGGTCACCATGGTGGGAATACCAGTGTATAAAACAGGCTATGTAAGTCTTGTTGGGCTGACTTGGGCTGTGTTTCTCTGATCTTCAGTGGGTTATCATCAAATTCACTCAGCTCACTGGCAGGTGCAAATGCTTTGTTGCTCTGAATTTTCTTCAAACCTTAACAACTTCTGAAAGTAAAAAAATTGGTCTTGAGAGCCCTTTTGTCAAGCAGTGTGTTCTGATGTGTCACAGGGAACCCCAAAAGTATAAATTCTCTTTCTTTCTTTTAGCTTCAAAAGGAAGAGATCAGAAAGTGAGAAACCAACTTAATTCACAGCAGAGCTGAGATTCAAGAGCTTCTCCTGGATGAGAGCCATTGAGCCAAACCAAGGGCCAGCCAGTGCAGGGGAACAGAATCTGCATCATTCCACCCTCCACCTTGCATTGGCTCTGGCCCCATCAGGTCCTTGATGACTCATTTAAATATAACACATTTTTTATAGTACTCTGTCAATTTATCCTTCAATAGTGTTCTCTGTGGTTTCATTGAGCTGTGGGCCTCAACTTTTAAGTTCATTACTGGGACTTCCAGAGCAGAAACCCTCTCTCTAAACAAGGACAAATAAAGTGGGCTTCTATTTTCTAGCATAGCAACTCCTGTCATTAGAGGTGTCTAGGGTACCTCTCCAGATCTCCAACAACTGTTCAAGAAAGACTAGATCTAAGTCATATATTAATGGCCCATGCAGAAGTCTTGCATACTCCAAGGTATCTTAAAGGCATTAGGGACCTATATCCCACTCATACAGTGCATTTTCAATACCAAAATCAGATATTTTTATTAAGATGTCTAAATGTATATTCAAATTCCTGTGTGGTCAACAAACCCCCGAACACCCGCATGCTAAAACTGAAATTAGGTAGTGTAATTTTGAGCTGAATACCACGTACTGAATACAGACATCCATGCAGGATTTAGTAGTGTAAACTTAGCTTGGACATGACCATTTGAAATAACCAAGGAGAAGACTCCAAGGCAATTCCTATCCTGACTAGACTTATGCTCCACTGCCTCTTGCGTTCCATGTTAGAAGACAGCAAGATCCACACATCAGAAGGAACCACAAGAGGTACTGCAGGATGTGAGATAACCTACTTATTGTCCCTACCTTAGTGAGAGAAGGGGCAGATTTGCACCACAACCAGCCACCAGCAGGGACACATTGTAAGTGGGAGATGATCCCACCACCGTTACTGCTTCAATTATCCTCCCATCTGGCCAAGGTGGTTTGGGACTCCTCTGAGAAACTGAAAGGAAAAGATGATGATCATTCATTACAGGTAGGAGAATAGATGTCACTAAAACTAGGTTATTTTCTCTTCGCATGCTACAAACATAACCATTTTGGATTTCTTTTTGGACAAGACCTTTATTACATAGTTTTATTTATTGACGCACACTTTCAAACAGGCCAAGAATGTTCATATTTGATAATAACTTCCTGGTTGTTTTCACAAAAAAAAAAAGCTCCAGAAAAAAAAAAAAAAAAAAGCTTTAGTGTCTGTTGTGAAAAGCCGTTCCCCTCTGAAAAAAAAAATATATATATATACATATATATAACCAGTCAAACATTTTAGTTTTTCATGGAGGGTCCTGGAGAGAGAAAAACATCAAGAAAAAAAGAATCCTTTACCAGTCACATTGCTGTCTGTGATGATGAGTTCATCAAGATAAAATGACTCAGAGGTCTCCTTTTGCATCTCAGGGATCGGCAAATCAATCTGACGCACATACACAGGAGAATTGGCAGGGAGGTCCTGGAAGAGCATGGAACGGTTCACACATCCCTTCCAGAGGTTGGTGCAGGTAAACGTCCAGCTGAAAGGTACCACCAAGGGTTATGGCCTCTCTCCCCTACTATGAGGCAGTTGAAACAACTGATGAGCTGTTAAACCTCCAGATAACCTCATGTACTACTACTGCTATGTTCATTCATAGCACATTGACTCCCTGGCTCATGCTCACCCTCTACAAACCTCTGTTAGGTGGTTCACAAAGAGAACAAAGTCTTCAAATCTGTTTAGATATCCTCCGCTCCATCAAGAAATTCAGTATGTGACAATGCCTACCACTACTCTCTTTTGGCAAAAACACTTCCATAACATCAGTGACCTTGACAGAACATCAGCTACCTACACACAGCAGCTTATCCAAATCCTGAACCCCTAAGGGTGCTTTAAACTACGCATGTCCACATATTAAATGATCTAACCCACTAAAATTCAATCCAGAGCTCAAGTCCTTTGGGAATACAAGACACTGCTCAAGTCCCCAGTTCTCCATCATGTAATGAAATTGAGCAGTAATCTCGATAACAAACTTGAGCAGGCAAGTCTCTTAATCATGCCGTGTTTGGCCATCAGCTTCAAACCTAGCAGTCAAGCTCTTATGAAGATGTGATTTCAGTAATCTACACATCCACACACTCACACAGACCCCTTGCCCAGCCTTACAAAAAAAAAAAAGAATTCTCCCAGCTTCCAAAAGCTCTTCAGAGACTGTTGATTCTTTTAGTTTGCCTGCCCCTAACTTCCCCTCATCAGAAAAGCTCTCTCACCTATTGATTTTAAATGAAATAAAGACTATATCAAATTCCAAAAACATTATTTACCTATGGTCCCATAAGTTTCCTGACAGCAAACTGCAATACACCTTTCTGTCTCACTGCAAAAATTCACCAAGTATTGCCAAAGAAACCAGGAAATTAGTGCCTTAAACTGTTCAGATGAGAACTTGCTATGCCCACTTCTCCTAACATGCTGTCTTATTACGGAAAATGTCATTACTAAACTACCTTCCTAGGTTACTGTCGTTAAAATCCCATTGGCAGGTGAGGTTCCTCTTCACTGAATGGAGAGTGGCATTAGTGTAGGATACTGAGATATGAAGGATTTTGCTCATATATCCTTTATGTGCAAAACATACCTGCAAACAAAGTAGAAAAAAAAGTAGTTTCAAAAGTCAAAATAGAGATAATATATGTATGTTTACAGAAGACATTGCATGGTGATTCAATCCTGCATTATTTGTAGAGATAAATCTTGTTTAAGGTCAGCATCACATCCAAGTGCATCCCCAGCAGAGATGGAGCCCTGGCACTCGGATGATTGAATATCCGTTTCTCTGGAGTCCCAAACACTCTACCCAGCCATGCACACCTTTGCAGTGAAACACACTGTGCTTTGGCAACGACCAGCAACTGTAGCCCTGAATTAGAGGGAAGGTTAAACAGACTGGATAATTTTATGCAGCAATTTTGGCTATAAGCATCCATTCCAGACACAACATGCTCAACAAGAACAGCCACTTACGTGTGTGTATTCAGTGAGATCATATCTCGGTAGAGTTGAAGGTGACGTTTTCACCAGCTGTTCTGGTCTGTGAACACTGAACCTCCCACAGAAGGGCTCCGTCCCACTGACAGTGCGCCCCGTGGTGACAGAGTCCTTTGTACCTAGCAGAGATTTGATAGATAAATAAATGAAAATACAGGAAACGGGCATCCAAATAATAATAATAATAATGGTTCTATTCTTACAGATTCTCTTGCCCAGATAAACTTTGAACTGTCATATGATAGGTGACAATTATCTAAGTAAATCTCCTAGGTAAAGGATGCTGAAAGGCAAGAGCTAGATCCATGTTCTGACCATATAAGTTTATGCCAAATACCACCTAGAGCCAAATAGAATGTTTGACTAAATATACCCTTTCCCTTACAGAAAATACACAAGCAAAGAAGCAAAACTGTATATCAAGCAACAGAGAATCCATCTTCCCCTCTGGGATCTTATTGCGCAGGATTATCAACCACACTGACAAAAATTACTTGTATTTCTTTTGCTCCTAGTACATAAGTAAGAGGCTTTCTTGCATCGATAGATACTAACCATTCACCTTTTCCTCAAATAAAAGAAATAGATATCTATCTGTTACTATCCATCTGGTATATCAGATGGAAGCTCCTGTTACATTCATAATATCTTTCAGGCAAGAATTTAATATGTTTATTTCAGGAGAGACTATGGAAGTACTTGGAAGGCAGCACCACTGAGAGTTATTAAATTAACAAAATATATCAGGCTCAAGAAATAAATTGGGATTAAAAAAAAATGGGATTTGGAGAGAACCAAGACAGACATTCACTTAGTTTTTATTCTTTCCTAGGCATCTCTTTTGGTTTCTGCTGGAAACAGCATATTATGTTTGATGGATCCTAGGTCTGAACATGTGTGGCTGTTTCTGTTGCCCTTGAGTCTATTCAAAACATTTTTTTCTTGCTATGCTACTTTCATTTTTTTTAATATATTTTAGAAAGATTTTTTTAAAAAAATAATCAAGTCCTTCCCTTTATTCTACTTGTTACATACAATTTTTTATTCCCACCTTACTGTTGAAGTATTACCAGTCTTCAGCTAAAGTTATATTCTTTTTTGTTGGTAGAATTGTAGTTTTATGATAACTACAATTCACATAACTACACTAATAATGTCCACTTTCTTTCTTCGTTTTTATGCTTAAGATTCCCATGCCTCTCAATTAACTCATTGCTTTCCTCCACACAATAGAAAGTTGTCTATGATTTTTACAAAAGCTAATATTTTATACTTTGCCTGACCAGTAAAGTATTCACCAGATATTTGCACTAATGAACACAGCAGTCATCGAGGAAGGCTGAAAGCAAAGATCCCTAGAGTTGGAACAACTTGAGCTGTAGCTATGGGCTTTATCAGATTTACTTCACCAGTAGATATATTGAAACATGAATAATTTCACATGCCCCAGAACTTGCATTCTTTGTATCTATCTGTAACGTTCCTAATCACCAAAATATATCATGAGCTCTGATAAGTGTGCTATAATACATGACTGAGTTGTGTAATGTATTACAGGAAGAGCTTTGTGAAGATATTAATCATATTTTTAATATTAGGACCATAAGGTCCTTCATTAGAATACAAATAATGAACACCTGAGGAAAAGTGTGTGCATATAAAGTCTTTAAAATTGTACATCTCCTGTTATTAAAAATACATTTATACCATAAAAAGAATCAAAGATCACACCAAATACTGCTTATTTGTCAAAGGAAATCATTACCTTTCTCGAAGCCATTCTGGAAAAGAATTTTAGCAGAAGATGGCTCAGTTTCACACTGTACTGAAAGAAGCCCCTCTATTGCTATCTGTACCTTAAAAGAAAGTGAAATGAAGTCATGATACAACAGCATTTGGCACATTTCAGTAGAAGGCTCCAACACATTAAGTCATTGCTGCATTTTTCATCAAATAGAGATGATGGCAAGGCAGCTCTGACCAAGCAGTCGGAAAGATGGTAAAAATCATCTCTAAACAGAGTCTGAGCTTCTAGTTGAGCATGGCATAGGCCTCCAACAGCTTCATCAGAAGGGTGCAGATTTATAGCAAGAACTATACCATTCCTGCCAGCAGCTTGAGGTATCCCAGGTAGCAGCAGACACCTCAGTGCAGGCAACTGAACAGAGAGCTTAGTCAATGCATCTTGTGGCATTAGAGTGTTTTAGTTCATCCTCATCGACATTTAGCCCAATACCTACCATCATCCTAGATACCATGAGGATGAGGCTAAGGTATTGGGACAAATTTCCAGGCAACTCTGCCAATCTGATTTGCCCCATGGAACCCAGGCATCTGAATGTCCCTCCAAGCACCATCAGCTGCACTGCTTTGGTGTCTAATGACTATCACAAAGGAGACATGCAGAGTGGTTTTGACTGTGGCCAAGTCCGATTGCAGTTGCTGTAACAAGAACGTCTGTTCAATGTATCAGTGTTTCCAAAGAAACTGGTCTGGAGCTTCTGTCTGAAGTCAGGAGCCACAAGCTACCTGTCCAAGATGTCACACATACAACTGCTTACTAACAGTCACCACACATGGGCTTTGCTGTGGACAGCAGAGGCCAAGATCAGATGCTATGGTGCATAGTAGAATCCCTGGGCCATTCAACTCAAAAAAACAAACATTCCCAATACCAAATATCATCACTGACCATATAAAATTTAGCTAAGTCTCTAGGCCCTGACTGCTATTAAGTGCCATAGCCCCATCAGTTATACCCCAGCACAGACAGGGTTTTCAGTGTTCAGAGACACCTACCTGTTCAGCAGTAGCATTTGTGGGAATCATATTGCTGAATATGTTGTTCCAGGAGATACTGAACCACCCTGCACCTGACACAGTCAACATCTGACAGGCAAAGAAGCAGATAAACAAATTTAAAAAGATAGGAACTGCATAAAATATACAGAATTCAAACCTGACCTATGAATCTTTAACCAAGGAGCCTTTTATAGCCAGTATATTAAGCTTCTGTAAAGAGAGAGTCCCTTCAGCTCTTCAGCAAGTCATTAATTAGTAAGGTAAAAGCTGAGGGAAGTCAGCATTGCATTCAGTTCAACACATTAGCAGATTATAATGCAAACATAAGGGTTAGGTCAGCCTGCCGATATGTATTGAAAGCCATGTGCAGCTTCAGCTCATATGACCCTATTAACTCAGCAGGTTAAATGAAGTTGGGAACACACACGTCTAGCAAGGTCAAGGTCTTTATCGTTAGGATTTGCTACACTCTGCATAGTCAAGGTCAATCTATCTCCCAGGGCCAAGCACACAGCACTGACCTGAACTTCGGGAAGCTGCAAAGCACAAGCCCGAATTTCATGTCTTTCCCGGTAGTAGGTGTTCACCACATGGGGATTCAGCCATGTGTTGTGTATTTGGACACCAACTCTCATCCCACTGCTGGGTGCCTTGCCATGATGCCAAGCTTCCAGGTAGTACCTTGAGCCAGCAGTTAGCTCAAATTTGGGGGATTTTGGCTGCCAACTTTCATTCCAGCTCTTCTCCCAGTGCTCCAGCCACACAGAATTGCCCGCAGGGAGAGAAGCTATTTTCGCCTATGTACAAGCCAACAAAATCATTCAATTAGAGCTGTTTCTCCATCTGCCAAAGTCACCATGTCCAGCACCACAACTCCAGTGATACAGAGAAGAGGCTTGTGCTCATAACTAGAGGGTGGAATTTTTATAGGCAAAAAAAAAAGTCATAAAAGAAAGAAGTAGGGCAGAAAGCCTCCTGGTCCCCTTACACAGACAGATGTGTTGAAATACTAAAAAAGTCTCCCAGAAAAGACATTCCAAGACTCTGAATGCAGTGAGTCCTTCATAACTCATGAAGGCTGAGTTCCTGATAAGGGCCAGTGTAAAACCAAATATAATCATGCATACTTAAGTCTACCAGAGCTGCAAAGTAAGGTACAATAGGCCAATTCATACTGGAAGAACTCTCATCTTAAATAAAACTCTTCCCCATCCTAAACCTTTTATTTTTATGGTGCCAGCAGTAATACCTTACGTTCTGGATCTTGAGACAAACTCAAGTACAGAGATGCCTGACCATCTGCTTGAATCCAGAAGGTATAATTGTTGGTCTCAGGAGCCACAAAAAATCCACGAAGTCTGGAGCTAAAGAAAAGCAAAACATTGGTAATACACAAAAATGAGTGCACACCCACAAACCTCATCTTCACACATACACAAGGAAGCACATGGAAATTATATTCAAGAAAAACCCATAAACGTATTCAGAGATTAAAACTGCTGAAAATACACAAAAAAGACCCATTTTCAGATTAAACAGTGGTTTGGGATAAATTTTCAAGGTGAAAAAGAAACATCCCTCCAAGAAAACAGGCATGGTGTGCTGATGGCCATGTTTCTTTGTACATTTTTTCTTAAGCAAAGTCTTATCCCCAACTAGACAAGAAAAAGCCCCAAATCACACAAAAGAGCAACTGAGAAATACACAGAAATGTTAAAAAATTGAAGCTATCCACAGTGCACAGTTCTCCATATCTGTCTCCAAGGAGGCATGGGTAATGTTCACCAGCACTGTTCACAGACAGATTTGCAGCTTGGAGCAAATCAGTTTACTTCTATCAGCATCAGCTGAGCTGCTGCTGCCAAAGTTAACTAAGGATCTGACCCTCCACACCTGGCCAGAGCTCTAACCCAAGGCAGGCTCTACTAGAGCTGTCTTTGCCTCTGAAGCTCTTTCTTTTGTGGTGTTTCAGCACATCCAGACCAGGCAGAGCAAAAATACTGAGCAGAAGTGAGAAGAGGAAAAAAAAATGTATAAAAAAAAAATCACTGAATATTTTGAGCTTCAAAGGGCCACTGGAGTAGAGGGCTTGCTTTGATTCACATGAGCTTTGCAGGCAGGCTTTGCTATAAAGAACTGTCAGGTGTTACTGCTGTGCCTTACACTGCTGAAGGTGATTGCCATGGCTTCGTCTCTTTTTAAGAGCACTAAGTACCTGAATGACTGCTTTGCCCCAGACAGAAATCTTACTGGGGAACTGGCATTAGGTACAAACTGCCATCTATATCCAGGGCCTGCTTCTGTCAGATCAGAGGCGTCATCCCAGACTTCAAAGAGAAGCCCTCTGTTTCCTAGAAAGTTAAAATAAAAATGTTCTCAGTATCAGCCAACCAAAATCCCAGAGCACATGCTAGAATCAGCGGTGCAAGAAGGCAGGCCAGAACAGAAGTTTTTAATAATAGATTCACTCCGTTTGGGTGTCTATTTGCACTCAAAGGTAAAACACAGTTCTTGCTTTCAGGAATTTTCTCCACCTTGACACCCTTCACCAGAAAGGGTGTTTTTTAGTTATATGAATCCTGTACCTGGCTGGGGGGCAGCAAGTCTCCTGCCCTTGCTGGCAGGTTCAGTGGTGCAGCTGATCTTCTGGGGAGAGAGGTGCTGGACTTTACAGCGGACACCTGGCAGCCAGAAAAGGAGTCAAAATGGCACATGAGATTTAGAAAAACACCTGGTCCCTGAAATAAATCCAGTTTCTTTCCAAAAATGCTAAAAAAGACCAGAAGTCTGCACTTAAACCATCAACAAGTAAAATGATTCATTCTCACAGTCTAATTGACTATGTGTTCCTAGGCAAGTAATGCAGCTCCCTCACTTACTGCCCATTAGTACTGGTTGGGTTGCTGTGGCCAATGCCAATACCATCATACTGTGGAAAAAAAAAAAAAAAAAAAAACATTCAACACATCTTCCCTTACCTGCAACTGTGACCTGCACTGGCTCCTCAAAGAAATCCCCTATGATAGTGAGCTCAGTGCCTCCTCCAAGACTTCCACTAGCTGGAAAGACAGAGGCTACTTCTACAAAGAAAAGCAAAGCAAAGTCTGAAAATGACAATCCCCTATGATAGTGAGCTCAGTGCCGCCTCCGAGGCTTCCACTAGCTGGAAAGACAGATACTACTTCTACAAAGAAAAGAAAAGCGGAGTCTGAAAATGAGCATGGAAAGATTGATCCCATTCCTATTTCTGTTAAAGCAATGCATTTTGCACTATTTCCAACAGAAACAGGCTCCTGTGATTGAAATAGGGCTCTAATGCTTCATTCAGCTCCTGGCAGCCATGTGGGTTGCAGAGAGCTTGGCCACGTAGCAGGAGAAAAACTGCCTTACATCTATCATGTTCAGACTGCAATTGAGGAACTCTGAAAAAATGGAAGTTTTTTAATCATTTTGACTTTGTCTGACTGATTTCTGAATTTAACCTACAAATACTGCTGAGCTTTCCAATAGTCCCTGCATGACACATTCGAGAAGCTGAATATCTCACCATGAACATCCATGTTGTGACCACTCAAATCTTTCAATATTTGCTCTTTATTAATGGCATCTCCTACCACCCTGTAAATTTACTTTTCTCTTTGATGAAAAGTTATTTGCTTTGCACTCAAATGCCCTGTCTCAGCACCCAATTGCATTTGTATAGTGTTGAAAAAAAGTCTAATGAAAAAGCTTGCGAACTTTTCCAGATCTACATGTTTTCCAGATCTGTCCACCACAGAGTACAAAGACATCCCTGAGAGATGAAAAAATAACACACAGAGGATTTAGGATATAACCCAAGGCAGCACAGCCAGCCTTAGCATGTGCATTTGGTCTTCATGAAATTTTCTGTCTGCAGCTTTCTATGTAATCAGCCCACAATAGAGCACAATATAGTAGGGGAGCTGCATACCTAAAACAAGAATACATTACCATGTCCTTGGGAAGAACAGCAGGAAAAGTTGGATTTTTTTTTTCCTAGACTACTCTGGAATTTCCATGGGCCTGTACAACAAGTGAGAGGAATCAGTGCAATACCTGAATGTGTCTGGTACAAGAAAAGGTCCTGTTTAGCACTGATGAGCCAAGCATCTTTGTGTACTGCTGATCTGCAAGAGAAAGAAAATGCCGAAGAGATCCATGGCAATTTAAGCTGGGATTAGACCTTCTTTGGAGAGAACTGGACACCTTCTCTCCAGAAGAACAGTGTTAACAACTTTATGGGGACCAACAACAACTTTCACCCACACATTGTGCACGGACTCAAGACACATGGTTTTTTCATAGCTGAAATGCTTTTATTAGAAGTACTTTCCCATTCAAAATATAGCTTTGACATTGTCAAAACTTATCCTCACCTTTTCTTTTTATAGCTTAATTCTTGGCTATTTGGATAACAGAATAAAAGTGAGGTAGAAGGATTTTATTCAGCTACACTTAAGAAATGACTTCTGCTTCAGGTTGCTGAACCTAAAGTATTAAGCCTCTAAAATGGAAGTTTTGAAGGAGGAAGATCCTCCCTTTTCCATCTCTAATACGATGATAATCTTCTCAAGTTTAGTAAAATCTCTTTTCTAAGAAGCAAAACAATTTTCAGGAAATTTTCCTGCACTTATCGCAGGCTCAAAAAATGCAGCTGTGTTCTGCCATGAAAATATAGGGAACTAGAGCAGAGGTTCACTTACCTTCCTTTGTTAAACACTGAGAAGCTGACGTTGTGGGACCCTGGAGGAGAGAACACATGTACACATGTACATTACAGAGGGAATATGAAGGGCTCCATGAAGAGTGTATTCGACCAAATCTTATCCATGTGTCCTAGGTCTGATTTTTCTCTTCTTTCAGTATAATTATGCTGTTTTCAGAAATATTCTTGATTTATAGGAGGAGAAAAAAGTATGTCAACATGCACTATAAGCGACAGACCAGAAGTAACAAAACCAGACAAACAAAAACCCAATAACCCCATTAAGAACTTTGCAAGTCTCCAGCTGATACAGGGCCATGACTATATAGAGAGGTCTCTATGTGAACTCCTGGCACAGTCAGTGAAAATTCAGAGTTCGACTGCTTTGCTCATGCCCAGGTTTCAGGTGTCATTTGAGATGCTGTAGAACAGTGTAAACCATTGACAGATGTGACAGAGGACCTACAGGAGACCATGCCATTCTGATGGTCCCAAAAGGCCAGATGGGACATTGTAAAGCATCTCAGACTCCTGTGCCTGCAGGAACTGAACTGCATAACAAGATAAGGAGCTGAGAGCCCTAGATAGACTCTGAATTGTGAACACCTAAAATAACATATCTTGATTCTGATTTTCAGAGTAGGATTTGTTTGCATAAGTGCTTTGTTTTGTCTTGAGCCCACGGGATCTATGTTTTGTTGGGACAGGACCTTATGTGTCCTATCTGACCTCACTTGCCATGCCCAAGTCACATGTTCCAAGCAGGAAGAGAAAAAACAAACAGAAGCTTCGTCAGAGTGGTGAGAAATGAGGAAAATGAAGTAGCTACAAAGAAAACTATTCAAACTGCTACCAGAAGGGCCATGAAGGTGGCATACAATCTATTTGTGTTAAAGCCAGAGGAAGGGGAGGTCCATCACATACAAGAAAAACAAAGGGAAAAAAAAGTGAACTGAGAAAGTGAGCAAAGACATAAAAGAAGCCAAATGACTTCATTGGTGTTGGTCATATCCAAACATTTCTGTAACTGTTTCACTTGGGTACTGCACTTTTTTTTCTCCCAAAGGTTGTATGGATGGATAGGGGATGCAAATGACTTACTGTGGTCTTGAGCTTAACCATTGCAGGAAATCAGCCACCTGAAGCAGTTTTTTATGGACTCAGCCCTGAGTAACATTCCTAACCCAGAAAGAAGGAGTAACTTATGGCAGCCTCCCTATGTCTGCAGCAGAGAGTTGCAAAATCTACAGAAACTGGAGTTTTTCGTCCCTGTTCACTGACCTATGTGGCTGCCTTCCACCCGGCACTGCAGGGTCCCAAGTCCATCCTCCACCTGAATAGGATATCTGCAGAGAGATAAAGAACATCATTCTTTTCCCTCACAAAGTGTCAGAAAAACACAGGGAGAATCATCAGACCAAGCAGCGATGCTGACTTTTGCATCCGGGTGAGTCACCCTTGGCTTCCCTTAGAAGAATGGGTGAGAAAAGGTTGTTTCACTCTTGTCACATGATCATGGACAGATCACACATAAAACTTCATCACGTTTACATAAAGTTTGCTCCCTTTCTGCCTGCTGCAAAATTTGAGAAAGGCATTTCAGACCTTCAGTGCCTCTGGGAAGAAAGGAGCCACAGGATGGAGAGATTTGATCTCTCAGCAGGGGGTGAATGTTGGCTCACAAACTGAAAAAGAGCTATGCAGGAGGAAACTGCTCTGCTTTGGGGAGGGGAAGTAGAAAAAAAAACATCAATGATGACACAGATAGATCTGTAAGACTTTAAATTATTTACAAAGAATGGCCATGCTTTTCTTTTCTGCAATACATGCAGTTCCAGAGCCCAATAGAGATCTGTAACGAATTCCTGCTTTCCACAGATAAGGACTTAGCTTCAAATTGTGGCCTGGACTCAAGGAGTTAAGAGCAGACGTGCTGCTTCAGCAAAAACACATCTCACACACAGGGCTTCTGCCATTTTGCCCCATGAAGGGTGCAGCATGTAGCTCAAGAAGCACCAGTGCTCTGATGGCAAAGTGGGGACATGAAAGCAAAGTGACTACAGGGGAAGGGGGATGTGGACATAACAGTACTTGGCATTTCTGCACCTACTTTCCAGTGCTTCCCTCTACTTGCTTGTCTGCATGGCCCTAAATCTGTAAGTAGGAGCAAGCAGCAATTAAGCAAGATAAGCTAGCTTTACATCAACTCCTCCTGGAGCCATGGAAGAACACAAGCCCCATCTCCGACTCACATTTGCATTTAAGTTCCCCTTCTGGGATGCAGAGGGGATTTTACGGTGAAGTAAGTGTGCCCACTGAGGACCATAGGAGCCTTAGAACCAATTTCTGTGCAATCAGGATTTTCTCCTGGCACTCTGCAACGCAAGCCTCTCTCTTTTGAAGACATAGTAATTGCAAGAAGTGCACTGCACATAGCCTGGAGAAACCAGAGACAGCATGGCTGAGTTGCATGGGCTGTTGTCATGTTGCTACCACAGCAGCATGGACTGAGACACACAAGCAGCAAAATGCTGCCTGGTGACCAAGAGCCTTGCATTCACTAAAAAAGTGTCCCAGTTCATTATTTGCTCCCATTTCGCAGACCACACTGAGGGTTACTACAGTGTCCAGAGCCATATCTCACATTTTCTCTGCTCTTTTTCCAGGAATCAACCTTCTGCAACATCTCAAAGTATAAGAGAATTTGTACTGGGCAATAAAGGGGATGTTACTGCACAGCCCATGGCAGGTGCAGCAGTCCAGAAGCATCTCCTGATACTTCCAGGACAGGATACATTCATTCCAAGAAATGTGCAGTGCCAGGAATTGGTCATTGGACCCTGTCCACCTATATTGTTAAATTGTTAACGCTCTCCTGGCACACATTTGGCCAAGTTCAACTAACCTACCTTCAAAATACAATCATATGTGATTCTTTGCAAGAGATGGCATTGACCCAAGTCTACATCCAGTAGGCAGCTTGGACTTGGACATTGCTACCCTCTTTGGAAGTCTAAGAGAGCCGAACAGAAACCTGGATACATCTAGGCCACAGTATCATAGAATCATAGAATGCTTAGGGTTGGAAGGGACCTCTAGAGATCATCTAGTCCAAACCCCCTGCATACGCAGGGACACCTAGAGCACGTGGCACAGGACTGCGTCCAAGCGCTACCCTCTTTGGAAGTCTAAGAGAGCCGAACAGAAACCTGGATACATCTAGGCCACAGTACATGACTTCTGGGCCAGAAAGCAGCCCCTGGTCCTGACTCATTACAGCTAGACCCACAGAGCCTCTCTGTGACCATGAAGAGACAGCAGCCCTTATCCATCCCAGCCATAAAACTTGCAGACAATTCCTTATCATTCTTCATATTATGAAAAAGCAAAAAAAAAATATTGCCAATAGTCAAGAATTTGTTTTTTTTGTGCACAATCTGTGCTGAGTCTTTGCACAAATACAAACCAAATGTCGTTCAAAACTAACATGTGTCCTGCTTGTTTGTCAGCAAAAGAGCAGAGACTGGTCCATCCATCTCCTTCTGCCACGAGGAGAGCTGGTCTAGGCAGAAAGAAAACAGGAAAGACGTGACCTTAAGACAAGACACAGAACTTCCCAGGTGAAATTATCATCTTTCATTGAACTGGGACACCCCAGAAAATAAATTCTGCTAGAGATCAAACTCCTAAGAGCAAACTGGAGTATTATCACCTTGAAGAACCATTAGGGAAA